TACGTGCCCGATGAAACTGCATTTAACCCAATGTCTGTTGACACTGGCAACATGAAAGTTGATGAGGAAAACGCCAACAATGCACAACAACAGGTGAGCAAAGTTCTGACACACGCACTCACAAGTTATGCTCTATTTGGCACGAGCGTCAAAACATTGTCTTCCAATGTTGACGAACAAGTATATATTGACTACGTTTTGGAATTGACAGATGAACGAACGAAGATAGAAGCAAACAGTGAGGAAAGAGAAGAAAATCAACAACCTATTATAGATGTAGCAGAAAGTTCGGTTCTCAGAGACGCACAGTGTGACGAGGAAAAACTGACTACTCACATGGGTTCAACGGACATTGAAGAGATGATGAAAAAGAAAGATATAGGGACCCGCTTCATAGTCGGTGATGACAGCTTAGCAGGAAGTGGTGTTCACTGTTTCAATAGCAGTACAGTTTCGTCTGCAGCAATCAGAGAAGGATTACGAAATCTGGAGACATCGAATCAGGAGGGCGATGGTAATGTGAGAGAAACAGAGCTACAAACACGAGACAAGGATAGCACGGATGTTGGAGGTTTCAACGAGGACTCACGTGTACCAGATTACAGAGGAAAAGAGGTATCACCACTAGTGATGCAACCACAAAAGAAAGAGAGACAAACGACAAGGACACATACGGTGATAGATGGTGAACATAAAGCAATGAAGGGTGTTGAAAGTGACGAGGTTGTACAGTCAGACGAAGGCGGGACACTCTGTTACAGTAATGATGACAACAACAACTCAAGCAACAAAATAAAATCAGAAGACGGAGTGGTCCGTTTGGATGAAGGCATTGATGAAGGCGGCGAACCACTCAACGAGCACGCGAAGAAGTTGCCACCAGCGACGATGACCACCGTTCAAGACTATTTTCCTTTCAAGTGACATCCTACATATGCGGAGAGTCTTTCATTTTACGCATAGATGATCTCCAATGTTTGGGGATGGGGAAGTGGTTGACAACGAATATCATAGACTTTTATGTACAATATATGTACGACACGCTCGTACACAAGGGTGCTGACTTGTCGGAAGTAGAAGTACTATCAACGTTATGGTATAACAGTTTACTGAACGACAATAAGGACGTAAGTATAACTACTATTCCTGATGATGAAGTCGTAGCACAGATTTGTGAGAAAAAAAAAACGGGCATGGAGTCATTTTGAGAAAAGGAGGTGGTTATAGCTCCCGTTTTGCACAACAAGCATTTCACTCTTTTAGTAATCAACAGTATAGAGCCAATGTTGAAAGACCCGGAAATTATAGCTCCATCAAACGACGACATTTATCATCTCAACTCAAAAGAATGTGTGGGTGCACCACCATATGAGTCATTGGTGGCGCATCTGTTTTTCGAGCATATTGCAGAAATGTTTTCACAGAAAGGAGAAGTGTCAAGTTCACGAGCAGCGCATGCTTGGAGGGCGATCGTCGACAATGGTATCACAGAATCTTATGTTCAGAACGTTTCTTGTCAACCGCAAAGGAACTCTGTCGACTGCGGGTTTTTTGTCCCAAGGAATATCAAGAGCATTCTTGACAGAATTGCGAACGATTCTGATTTTGGATATAACCAACAAAGAACTGGGTTCGACTTGTGAGCGTTTATGTTCAAGAAAGCCTTACGACCAACGTGGTGCTATGGTTAAGGCTTTGGCAGCCGCCTATCCCAAGTCACGCACGACACAAACAAGTGAAGAAATATTTGCAGTATTTAAGAAATATTCGTCAAGCCAGAAGACTGGACTGATTAATAAATGAGAATGGAATACAAGGTTAGTATAATGAGATTTTGCACTTCGGTGTGAAAGTTGACTTCAACCAAGTAAGTGAAATGGTGTGTCGATCACATAACGATCGATCACGTAACGAAAAGTGTGTATACAATAAATGAAAAGACTCATTAACGAATATTGCTAAGTTTGTAGATGAACTTTTCGTCAGAAACAGAAGTAAAAAAAATAATAAAATAGAAAATGTCTAACATTTCATCATTGACCCTGTATGCTGTTATGATGGTTGACAAAGTTACGACATCCTACTTTGAAGAGCAAGAAGAAAAATCAGAAATACAGATAAATGGACAACCGCGCATCCAACAGTGGTCGACATCGAACTGCACATCAAACGTGTAATGTTAAAGGAGAGACAACAATTCAGGAGGAGGTGTGTCGATACGGAAGGGGTTGGTGCGACGACCATTGGAACAGAAAGAAGATAATGAACAAGTCAAAGCACGAACAGGAAGATCAGTACAGAATGATACAATGCGTTCTCGAAATGCGGGACAACTGGAGGAATCTTGGAGGCGGAACACTGTGCAATTGCACCGTGAGGCCAGTGAACGTTTTCATTCGAACGAGAGAGAAAAAATGGTTGATGGTGAAGCTGTGTTGCGGAGGGGAAGAGAAAATTCAGTGCAAACACCTCGAGCAAAGACACGAGGAAGACGAGCATTGAGTGGGTTGACCCCGGTCGCCCCAACAAAAAAACGAAAAAATATGGAATATGTGCAAAGCAAACGAAGCGGGGAAGATATTGAAGGCACAATGCGTCATTCACGTGATAAGGGAGATGAAGGAGAAAGTTCGCCGGAATAAGAAGACATGAAAACTTTTGGAAAACAACAGTTTAAGCATGAAAAACGTCGTATCTCTCACTGCAGATGTTACATGCTGAAAGCCTACACACGGGCCCCTTATGGGACCCGAGGTTGGAATAGGGCCCCCAGGTCGCGTCACCGCAACCTGAAGGCCCTATGGCATTTTTACTTGGGCCTGCATCAAAAAAACGTCAGCTTTAGATTATTTTTATAGTCTTTATTTTATTTATTTGCTGCTGTTTTTCTAACGGGTGTACCGTTGTCCGTTTTGTGGCCAGGTACACGCT